ACACCAGTCGCTCTGGCTCTGCGGGAGGATGGGCAATCTGCTCCCATGCAATTAACTGCCTCTGAAAACCCACAGGAGGGTCAGCTGTGGGTGTGTACACTACAATAACAATTAAGTCTGGAGGAAACTCAGGTGTCCATAAAGAGTTGAGCTGCTCACACAAAGGCAGTGCCTCTTGGGTAATGCAAATCCACCAGAAGCTCACAGGAAAAAGAGGGACAATCCCCTCCTGTGTAATTTATAGCCTCTGAGGGTCAGATAGGAGTTGGTTTCTACTCATCAAGTCAAAATGTGTTTGGTTTTTTTGTTTGTTTGGTGTGGGTTTGGTTTTGTCTTTTATTTTTAGATGCAGTGTGGAGATGAGATTACACCTCTTAACTCTGGACAAGTGGAAACATCAAAGTAGATCTCACATCTCTCATCTGGAAATGCAAGGCCTCTCACAGCTGTGCTTTAAAGAAAGATGCACGCACAGCAGTGGGCACAGCCGCTAGTGAGCACTGAAAGACAGTGGCCATTACTGATATACCCCTGACCTTGCAACCTCCCCCCGCCCCCCACATACCCTCTAGGCGTTTGAGAAAAGTAAAAATGAACAAGCATAGAATGAATACGCATCACACAAGAATGGGCTAGACCTGAATAGCATTCGTTCTTCACAGTATCTTATGACAATCATTTTCAGGCAGGATTTTTAGAGACAGCCAACCAAAACTCGTTTTGGCTACTTTAAAAAAATAAAACAAAATCTCAGAACTACTCCAAGAGGATTGGATACTTAGGGAGGAATCTCTGAGAGGGTTAGTGAGTCCGGCTTGAATGTTTCAAAGCCCAGGTTTAGGCCCTGGATCTGGAGAAGCCACCATGAGCTTTCTTGAGCACAGTCATGAGACCCTGGGACCCCACACAAGTGTGGCCACTTCCTCTACTCTCATCAAAATGCTCTCTGCAGTTTCTCTAGTTCTTATCTCTATCCGGCTTCTAATTCAAAGTTTGGGGTCTACACATTTGAATTTTTCAGGGTACTGATGTGGTGACAGGAGTCGGAGGGACGTGTTCTAGGTCTTGGTGAGTTAACTTCAAGAGATAAAGGGAAATGAGATTCTGAAGAATTTCAAGTATCATTAGAAAACTGATTGTCTCCTTGGAAAGGGACATCATGCTCAGAAAAGTGGAGTATCAGTGAAAGAAAAGAAGACACACACACACCCCCAGTGCAATGGACCTATTTAGCATCTGCAGCAAGGGGCTCAGACATGTTGGAGATGACAAAGAAGATGCAGGAAAAGACAGGGTTCAGATGTGCTGTTCACTGGGTCCCTAAGAGTCACACTCAACTCCACAGCAACAATGAAACAATCACAATGAATCTAGGAATATTTACTCTAGTAAATATTTAAAAAAATATATTGGTAAATATCATCCACTGAAAAGTCGAGGATTTTTACCATTTTTTTAGATGAAAAGGGTGAGGCTTAGCCAAGGCAGTGTAGCTAAGTGATGGTTTGAGCTCAAGACCGTCTCACTCACACTGTTCTCTGGCCACTGTCTTAACCTCTGCCTTGACAAATGTGGTCATTAGAATTATGTCCAACTCAGCAAAGCCTCCCACATGCCAGTCCCATTTCTCTAACTCATTAAAACTACATCTGCTGGGAGCTGAAGGTTCACTGTCTATTTTTCAGCAGCTCCTTTTAGAGGAGGACAGTTTTCCAGATACAATAGCCGTGAAATTTATTCTTGGAATGTAGCCTTGGAAGATGGGATCTCTGGGCTGGCTCCTTTGATTCTGGAATGTTCTGTGTCCCTATGAAATTCTACTGATACTATTCAAAATGGCCAGGGAGGGCAAAGAGGAGGCCTTTTGTCTAACACCAAGGCCCACTCCATACAGCACGGAGAGTTTTGCTCTCTACTGTCTATTAACCTGCATTATTTTCTGGCAATATGTTTACCCACTTACCCACGAAAGCTCTCCAAGACCAAGATCTATTTTCCCCCCAGACTGCTTACTAGTGATACAAGAATTGGGCTGCCAACACAAAGGTATGCAATTCAAATCCACCAAGCTGCTCCACTGGAGAAAGATGGGCACTCTCCTGTGCAATCTGTTATTGTTGTCAGATGCCACTGAGTTGAGTATGACTCATAAGTGACTCTATGAACAAAAGATCTGAACCCTGTTCTATCCTGTGCCATCCCCACACTTCCTGACACACAAAAGTCCATTGCATCAGTCACCGTGTCAATCCACCTGGTCAAGGATCTTCCTCTCCTTCACTGACCCTCCACCCTTCCCAGCATCATGTCCTTCTCCATGGAATAGCATCTCCTAGCAATATGCCTCAAGTATGTGAGATTTCATTGCCTCTGAAAACCCATTAGAGGGTCAGCTGTGGGTTGTTCCAACTCAACAGCACACAACAACAGGGTCTTATCACAATCAGTACCTGAGTCATGGTGATAATTAAGACACTGGGCTGTTACCAGAAAACTTGGTGGTTTACATTTACTCAGAATCATCTCAAAGAAAGACCTGGTGATTTGCTTCCAAAAGTCAACCATTGGAAACTCTACAGCACATAGTTCTCTGGCACACACGAAGTCAGTACAAGTCACAGCGTACTCAATGACAAATGTTACCCTGAGTTCTGGAGTTAGACTCTGCGGGTTTAAGTCTCACCTCTACCACTTTACTAACTGTATATCCTTGGTGAATTTCTCTGTGTTCAACTTCTTCTTTCATAAAAGTAAGAAAATAAAAGAGAATGCTTTGAGAGTTTACAGATGTACTTGGCTTGATGAATAGCCTCACTGTCACCATAATGCTTAGAATCTAGTGTTGTTGTTGTTGTTGTTGGGTACCTTCAAGTTGGAACTAGCCCACAGATGACCCTCTGGCAGGTTTTCAGAGGCAGTTAGTTACTTGGGAGGAGACTAACAGTATATACAAGGTCACTATGAGAGTTCAAGTCTCATCTTCATGGTTACTCCCTCCCTTCTTTCCTCTAAGTTATGGAGTACTGAAATCTACTGATCTAGTCAAACCAATCATTTTCCAGAAAAGACTAAAAGTACATGAGAGAAGTCAGTCCTAAAGCAATCTGTGGCTGAGCATGCAGTTTGATGCCATTTCCAATACAGAGTCCCAGGCCTCACCACGTTTGTGGTCCTGTCTCAGGCTCCTGGAGTCTGAACCTCAGTGACTCACAGCTGACCCTCCAGTGGGTTTTCAGAGGCAGTAAATCACATGGGAGGAGACCGCCCATCTTTCTCAGAGCTGCTGGGAGATCCCAACCTCATGCCTTTGAGTTGGCAGCACCTACTGCTAGACTGGAAGCAGGAGTGGCATCTACTTCCGAAATGGCTTGCCTCTGGAAATTCTATGAACCTGGAGAAAGGATGAAAGTCACACAGATGTTGAGGACTTTCGTTCCTAGGGTCGCTAACAACTCGATGGCACTTAACAACAACAACATTATGAATTCTACTAAATAGAAGAAACACAATCTTCTGCCTTTTAAAAATCCAAGGCCCTGCCTAGAAACTCCCTCATCCTTGGATCTCCTTTTGTGCCTTTCTTGTGTTCACACCTGTTTACTAAACACCTCTATTGTGTTTCTCAGTACTTGTATGATGCCAAGGCAGATGTATCATGTGCTCAATACACATGGGCTGGGAAAGACTAAAGCACGCCGACCTTCACCCTCATGGAGCCCACGATCTACCAGGAGAAAGAAAGGTCTAAACACACCCCTGTAATGCACTGCAGATGTGAGGATGTGATGACTGCTTCTCCTTTTAGTATTCCTAGAAAATTGCCTTTCACTGAGAAATCTTCCCACCAATGTTTTCATCCCATTTCCCCTCCATAGCTGCCCCTTCGCTCTTCAGATAGAGCACCTCTGTCTTTTGTACTTGCAAATGAATTGTGATTAGTTTTCACCTCCAGCCCAAGGGATTAGCCCAGGGACCTTTGATCTTCAGGTATCGATTTGCATCTTAAAGGAAGTATGATCTCATCTGGGCCAGCTCAAAATTCCATCCCTGCCCCCCAGCCCCTGTCAGTTTACCAGCCCCGGGCTGGCCTGGGCCTCCCAAGTGGGGCTGAAACAACAAGATCAGCCAGACTTGGAGAGAAGGCAGAGGAAAACAAATCTCCCATCTGACTCACTAAACACAGACTAGTGTATTAGTGTCCTCCCTGGATGGAAGAGCCTGCCTAACATTCCGCATCTGCAGAGAGACCACAGTGCTGAGTGCCTGGGTCCTAAATAGAATGTTTGGCAAAATGGACCGAACATGTGCTTGACAATGGGACAAAATCAAATCTCCTTCCTGTCTTCCATCACTCCCGACCTATGCGACTCACCAATGTTATGATCTCGTAGCTTATAATCTTCCCATCTATTAAAATAAGAATAAAGGCTTTAAAAATCTATACTAATATTCATCCTGGCTAGCGGGAGTTAGGAAGAGTAAAGATACATGTGAGATAAAGCTTGATCATAGAAATTTACCTTTTCATTTTGAGTTAAGAAGCTCCGTGGGGACAGTTTTCTGTGTTTTTCTAATGAATGTTTCTATCATTACATTTCCTAACGTCTAAACTAGTGCCCAGCCTATAGAAGACACTCTCTCCATGCTTTTGGTAGAAAAAGAGGGAATTATTTCATCATAATGAATGTTGCTGTGGCATCCCTGGGATGCAGACTGTCAATGCGCTTGGTTGATAATAGAAAACTGGTGGTTCAAGCCCAGGCAGAACTGACTCAGGAAAAAAAAAAAAAGAAGAAGAAGAAGAAGACCTGGAAACATACTTGTGAGAAATTAACCACTGAAAACTATGCTGCACAATTCTACTCTGACACACGTGGAGTCTTCAGGAGTTGCCATCAATGCAAAGGTGTCTGGTTACTGGCTATTGTTATTGTAACTGGCCAACTCTTCTGCACTGACTATTTCTCTTGGGCAAATCCAGAGGAGTGACAAAGACTTACCAACGCAATTGAACGAAACTTCCTGTTGGCAGAACAGGGAACAACCATCGCCATTGAACTTATTCATGTCATCACATTCTTCACCTTGGTCTCTGCAAAACAGATACAGAAGGAAAATGTGTTCAATCTCTTTCAAAATCATACTTAGTCCTGCAACAGCTTCTCGCTGTGCTGACAACCTTTAAGGAGACCTGGGGCAAACCCCTCTCTGGGTCCTCAGTGTCTTTTCCTTCACCTTCAAACTGAGAGTCACACCAGACAGAGAGGATAACATGTAACATTTACCTTAGTATGTGTTTCTTAGGGGGAAAAAATAGATGGGATCAAGAAATGAAATGATGACTGAAAAAATGAATAGACATTGTTCCCCTAATATTAAAACAAAATCTCACACCTTTTTAGTGTTTCTGACATTCACATGGTCAACTGGAAAGATATTTTGGAGACTCTTGAACAGCAATATTGTCCCTTCATTATTCACTGACTCAACATGCCCTCACTGTCTCTACTCCCTCGACACATTTAAAGGTGAAGATTTTTCCATCCACACCCTCAGATTTAGTCATCTTTTTGATGGAAAGTTTTGTCTTTTTTGTTGGGTGTGTCATTTTGTAGAGTGAAGAACTCCAAGGCCTTTGGGACTGGGCTGCAAAGAAATAAAATTGCCCCTTCTTGCTTTTGTTGCAGTTATTTCCATCACCTAAGGATGGCTTTGCAGGGTTTGGGATGGGCAGCCAGTGAGCGGTGCTCTCTGAACTGGACATAAGACAGAAGAAGGAGCAAGTGAGGAGATATATCATTACTTCTTAAGAAAATTCTCATTCTTTCAGAAACAAGACACTATGTTCCAAATTAGTTTGTGATCTTGACCCAGTCTGTGGGATCTCTCTATCTAGCAAGCCAGCGCGATAACCACTACCCACAGTAGAGATTTGATTTTAAGTTAATTAAAATCAAGATATCTAAGGGAGCTCTGGTGGCCTAGTGGCAAGAAACTGGACTGCAATCCCAGAGGTACAAGGTTCAAATCCACCAGATGCTCTCCTGGAGAAGGAGGGGCAATCTCCTCCTGTACCAGTCAGATCTGATTTGACGGTACACACACACACAAAATAATAAAAAAATTTTTAAACAAAATCAAGATATCTAAATACCCAATTCCTCAGTTACACTAAGGTCAATGTCAAGTGATTGAGGGCCACATGTGACTAGTGACTTACAATACTGGACAACACAGAATAGCTTTCCATCATTGCAGAAAAATGCTTGAGTAGGGCTCTTGGCTGCGCTTCAATTTTCTCACCCCTTAAAAATGGAGATAATTCTACCTCTGCCTTAAAGATAGTGAGAGAATGGAATGTAACTTAAAATGACCACTGCAGCAAGTGGCATAAAATAGATGCTCATCTAATCAGTTCCCATTCCAGCTTTGCCCCTGCAGACTCCCACAGAGTGCAGCAGCTGCCCCTGCTTCCCTGGGGACCAGCTGGGACCTGTCACAGCATGGAGGCAGCTCTGGGACTTTTCCTTTCACTTGTGCAATTAACACACCAGGGAACGTTTGTTGCTTTTCGGAGGTGTCAGTAGCAGGATGGTGCTTTCTAGTCAGTCCTTAAGATGCCTGCACATTTCCAGAGAGCTGCTCCAAGTTCTTCCTTGTTGCAAACCTATGAGCAAAGTTCATTCCCAAACGGAATCTTGTAAGTAGGAAACAGATGATGATCTTGGACTTTTAGGTATGTCATGGGCAAACTGGAGAAATGTTTCTTCGGAAAAAACAAACAAACAAACAAAACCCTACCCCAAAACCAAAACCAACCCAGCACCAAAAACCCAACTAGGTTGGTTTCCCTAAGCCACAAAGAATATTTCTAACCTGCCTTCCTACAGCATCCAAACAGTATATTCTATTGGTTTAAGAAAAGCATTAAGGAGGCATGACCAATCTCAGATAGAGAAATTCTGGAAAAACTTCTTTGACTCTCTGGCTAGAGTAGGTGGCTGTTTTCTCTGTGTCCCATTGTCAAACTGACCTCCCTTGCCTACTGGTTGAGAGTTCCCCACACGAGATTGTGAGATGCCAGAGGCAGTGAAGATCTTCATCATCCTAGCGCCCCACTACCTGGCCCAGGAGCCACGACACAGCAGACCCCTCATAGCAGCCACTCCTCCTCCCCTTGTTATGTCAGGGACGTCAGCTCAAACGTCAAGGCAATGGCAAATGAAGATGGGAATCTGGACCCTGGGTTCCTATTTTGGTTCTAATTCCTTTCTGTGTATGTTGTTATGTGCCATCGAGTCGTTTGCGACTCATAGTGACCCTATGTACAAGAGCCCTAAACACCGTTCTATCCTCTGCCAACCTCGCTGTCTCAAACACATTCATTCCCACCACTTCACTCACAGAATCGATCCATCTCATTGAGGGTCTTCCTTTCCTGTGTCGTCCTTCCACTCTCCCAAACATGATGTCCCTCTCCAAGGACCAGTCCCTCCTTGCAACATGCCCAAAGTATGTCAGATGAAGCTTAAGAATCCTTGACTCCAGGGTACATTCTGGCTTCGCCCTCTCCAGGACAAACCTGTTTGTTTTCCTAGCAGTCCATGGTATATTCAACACTCTTCTCCAGCACCACACCTCAAAGGCATCAATCCTCCTTCTATCATCTCTATTCACTGTCCAACTCTCCGATGCATAGCATGTAATTGCAAAGACTATAGCCTGGATCAAGGGCACCTTAGTCTCCAGCCTGATGTTGTTGCTCTTCAGTACTCTTGAGAGTTCCCCCACAGCTGACTTTCCCAATGCAATTTGTCTCCTGATTTCCTGGCTGCTGTTACCAAGAGTGTTGACTGTGGAGCCAAGTAAACAAAAACTGTTAACTATCTCAATCTCTTCACCATCCATACTGATGCTGCCAGTTGACCCGGTGGTGAGAATCCTTGTTTTCTTGATACTGAGCTTCAATCCATATTGAAGACTGCAGTCCTTGACCTTCTGCAGCAAGTGCTTCAGGTCCTCCTCAGTTTCAGTGACTAGGGTTGTGTCATATGGACTTGAAAAACACTCTGTAGTCTCTTGGTGTATTAGCTGTGTTTTTTGTAAAGTATCACAACAAGGTCTACCTCATAAGCATTCTGAGAATGTTCAAGGGAAAAATCATTTAGCACAGTGTTTCACACTTGTAGAGGCTCAAGAAAGGCTTATTATTGCTAATAGTATTCTTACTGAGTCCCTTGGTGGAACAAGTCTATTACATTCTGAATTACCAGCCAGAAATTTGGCCTTCTGAGTCCACAGAGAAGCACCTTGGAAGAGGGGCCGGGTGATGCGCTTCCAAAACGTCACCCAGTCTTGGCCCATGGAGGACAGTGCTACTGAGTCACTGGGAGGCAAACTCAACTTGTGAGCAACGACTTTTTTGTTTTGTTTTGCATCATTATTTTAGAATGAACCCAGGTGTCCAGATTCCTCATTCAGTCACCTTTAAATTATACATGAAGCTGGGATCACCCTCTACTATGGACGATTCATTACGGAGTGCTCACCTATTAGGGTCTCAACGAATGCTAAGTCTATCTGTAATCCTTCGTAAATGCTATTCATCATAAATTAGTATGTATCGTCCCATGAAAAAACCTTCATCATTTAGGATGACATCTCTTCCCTAAAGCATTTCCCAGCCCTTTAGAAGAAAATCTGTCACCTGCTTTCAGTTTTCTACAGAGCGTGTCAACAAGTATTTGGTGCCTGCAGGTAATTTAACAGGATAATGTATGCAGCGTGCCCATTTCAGGCAGAATTAATTTTAAAAAGATTTCTTAAATTAAGAATACTATTCAAAGTTGTAACAACAATAGTAATCACTTTAGATTTTTGAGAAGAAAGATCTTGAGTTGTGTGCAATGCTTTCTCGATGTATGTATACCTGCCTCCAAGATGAATGGACAGGTTTGTAAAATCAGATTCCAAACTTGTTAAGTTTCTTTTTTCTGTCTTTGTGCTAAGTTAGGAAACATTAGATCCCAATTATAGACTGCCCAGCATGACGACTGCCAGTATTTCCTGATACACTGGGCAAGCACAGACCCACAAATTACACGGCGCTTTATTCCTAGAGATCCCAAAGCTCCATTACTCAGTCGGACAAGAACTGTATCAAACTAGAAGTTCAGATTGTATAGAGAGAGAGTCAAGGGATCCTCTTTCCCCTAATTGTGCTGTACTCAATACTGCAAACAATAGATTTCTGTTCTTTTGCCGCACTTGAATATAGATTTTAAGCATTTACCACAATTTATCACTGGTTTCATGCTCGAACAAAAGTGGAAATTTTTTTTCTAAGCAGGAATGGCATTCACTTCATAAACAACATGCCTCTGGAAACTCTATGAACTTTGAGAAATGATGAAGTTACAGAAAGGCTTCAGGTCTTTTGTTCATAGGGTCACTGTGAGTCGTACTAGACTCAACAACAACAACAACAACAAACTTAAAGAATCAAATTCTTGACAATCAGATCATTTGCAACGTAACTGAGTACTTAAAAACTCACTCATAAACTATGGTACATCCATACAGTGGAATATTACGCAGCACTAAGGACCAACAAATTCGTAAAGTGCTACTTAACATAGGAGAGTCTACAGGGCATTATGCTGAGTGAACTAACTCGGTCTCACAAGACAAACACTATACAGGGCCATTATTCTAAAATGTATGGAAAACCGGCAAGATGCGTATAAACGTCTGGAAAGGGAAAGAGAACAGGGAACGGGGCAGTAAAGGAGGAAAGGTGGGGCTAGCAAGCAAAGTTTAGCAGGTGGATTGCGAGTCCAGGGCATAAAAGAGCAAGAATGATTCCATGGGGTCTCAAAAAGGGTAATAATAATAACCGGCATAGGTCAATATTAACGAATTAATCATATAAAATACAATGTATATGAATGATTTAATGAAATAACGTAAAAAGAAATTGTATAAAACACAATGTAAATGAGAGATAGTATAAAATGTACCTGAATGAAACATAATGTAAACAAATTATTGTATGTAAACAAACAAAAACCAAACACAATAAACTCTCTCAAAAGCCATATTACAATCTTGGTAATTCAACTTTGAAATTATAGATGCAGGAGATTCAAAACATGAATACTTATCTGTGTGACACATCAGTTGAGCAGGCCAACTGAAATTGTGAAAATATTCATCATGGCTCTTTTACCATCAACGTCTTTAAAAAATTTGCATTACTATCTGTCCCAAAATTCCTGTATACTGTGGCATGGAAGAGCAGAGTCTTACACATACTACTACTACTACTATTCTTTTAAAAAAATATTATTTGTGTGTGTGTGTATGTGTGTTTGTGCCGTCAAATCAGATCTGACTGCTAAAATTAGTGTGTGTGTGTGTGTGTGTGTGTGTGTGTGTGTCCTATCAAATCAGATCTGACTACTACAGGAGGAGATTATCCCTCCTTCCCCAGCAGAACATCTGGTGAATTCGAACCGCGTTCCTCTGGGCTTGCAGTGCAGCTTCTTGCTACTAGACCACCAGAGCAAGTTGGCAAGAGATACATCATTCTTGGTCTTCATCTGATCATATTTGTGACACTGATTATTTCTCTAAATCTAAGTAAAGACCAGAAAGCATGTTGTAGGTCAGTAATTGATATGTACGTGGATGTATATTCATATATAAACTGCTTTTTCTTACACAATGGCAACATTCATGCTGGCCAGCCAAATGACTGTAGACAAAAGAACAGCCTATTTCCAAGAGGAGCTCGGGTGGTCTACTGGCAAGAAGCGGAGTTGCAATCCTGACGGGACACATTTCAAGGACACTAGCTGCTCTGCAGGAGAAGGATGGGCAATCTCCTCCCGTGTGATTAACTGACTCTGAAAACCTGCTGAGAGATCAGCTTTGGGTTGGTTCTGACTCAACGGTGCACAACAACAACTATGAGCTGGTACATCATGGCCCATAATCCTGGTACCTCATGGCCTGCCCGTGGAAAAGAATCCCGCTAAACTCTCCTGTTCAGCATCCTGACCTTCGTCTGACCTAGCTGGCGTAATTTTCCTTTCTTTCATTTAATCTACTTACTTCTGGATAATTCCATCACCACAGTATCCACTTCCATGGGTATACATGGCAGCAGGTGATGGTTCGCTCTCCTCATTTCCAGAAATGGTGACGACCCAGTACTGGTACACACTGCCAAGATTTATATCCCTGGGAAACAAACATGCACACAGACAAAAAACTGTTAGTTACACAAAAGCAATACTGTGGAGGGGAGGAGATTACTGGATAACAGAGTTTGGTGAGCCAAGGGGGATGGTGGTGAAGGAATTAGAAAGACCCAATGGAGACCTGAAAAAAGGTGGTGTAATAGTAGTCATAGATCAATAGTGTTTAATATTGTAAAACATAATGTACATGAGATTTCATTTGAAATACAATGTGAGTATAGAAATGTGTGAAACACAATGTCCATGAATGATACAAAATGTATGGGAATTTTGTATGAAAGCAAATATAACATAAAAATAAAGAAAAAGAATATCTAAAAACAGTAGTAGGAGAATTAGAGGAGTGATGGTGAAGAATTAGTCCCCTTGGGTATATTCTATCAGTTGTGCTCCATTTTGAAATCCCATAAGCAACTAGTTGTCCAACAATCATCATGATCTTGTATGGAGAAGGTACTCTTCTAAGTATGACGTACCTACCACTTGAAAAGTATACAGTCAAGACTAGTATTAATTGCTAAGTAAGCACATTGCCAGATTGTGAGGATCACACAGAATCAGACAAGTTTTTAATCTATGTACGTATTGGGCTCTCTTATGTGTTGGAGTCCATTTAACGGTACTTTGGACATGCTGTAAGGAGGGACCGGTCCTTGGAGAAGGACATCATGCTTGGGAGGGTGGAAGGACAGTGCAGGAGGGAAAGGCCCTCTATGAGGTGGATTGATTCAGTGACTGGGGTAATAGAGATGGGAATGTCAGAGACAGTGTGGTTGGCACAGGACAGAGCAAAGTTTAGGGCTGTTGTACATAGGGTCGCTATGAGTCACAAGCGACTCAACGCACATAACAACAACAATATCAACAACACATTCTTCTTAATTTAACCCATGCAATAGCTTTTAATAGGTAATGTCAGATGGTATGTGGCTCATAGGTAGCATTTTGGGAGAAAACACCACATCGGACTCCGGGCTTTATCACATCTTTTCCTTTCATTTTAAGATCTGAGAAGGAAACACATTCCACGTCAGCAAGCCTCTTCCCTACTCTGTACAGACAGTTACCTTCCTCCAGCTCCTACCACTTGCACCAACTCACTCACTGCTGTAGTGTCAGAACTGACTCAGGGCTCACACTTTGGTGAGTTTGTGAAACTGTAGCTCACATGGAAGGAGACTGCCTGTATTTCTCCTGTGGAGCCAGAGAAGGATGGGCTTTGGGTGAGCAGTGCAACTCCCTTCAGATGAGGGTACAGAGCTCCCTAAATTGAACCAAATCCACTGCCAGTTAGTTGATTCCAAATCACAGCCATGCTTCAGGACACAGCAGAAGTGCCCTGGAGAGTTTCTGATGTCTTTCGTCTTTATAGATGGTGAGTTCCCATCTTTCATTGCCAAACATCTGGTGGGTTCAAAACACCTTTGAATTAGTAGCCAAACGCCTTAATAACAGCACCACTAGAGCATCCCAATAATAATAACATCTATTAGTTGTATGTACAATGTATGTGAGGCTAAGGACTTCATATGAACTTTTTCACTTTGCACATAAAAGTATCGCCAAATAGATAGATACTAGTATTTTTCATATTAATTTTGAAGATGTTCAGCAGGTGCATGGGAGGGTTAAGCAATTTGTTTGTAATCCTTTACTATTAAACAATACACACCATTCTACCCCAGGGAGCTCTGGTGGCCTAGTAGTAAGAATCTGTACTGCACTCGAACTCACCAGCTGCTCTGCAGGGGAAGGATGGGCAATCTCCTCTCCTGCAATTACTGCCTCTGAAAACTCCCCGGAGGATCAACTGTGGGTCACTTCTGACTTAGTGGTACACAACAACATCAATAACCTCATTTCTGAAAGGTCACATGTCAGGTGGATACAAGTCAGATTCAACTTGATAGCAACTAAACACATTTCTTATTTCAGACATCAGTCTGGATAACATTTTCTCTTGCAAAGCAGTGTCCTGTCTTAGAATTGCAAGTCTATTGGTTGGTTCCAGCCAGATTCCCATTTTACGTAGATTGTATTGATTTCTCTTTTATACACAAGACCTTTTTTAAAATAATGCCTATGTGACTTCCTAATTCCCAGCCTTAATTTGAGTTACTCTCTTGCCCTTAGCTAACTCCCAAATCCATTAACAAATGTTTACAATTCGTAGGGATTCTCCAATCGATTTCTGAGGCTATTTACCTTTATGGGAATAGAATGCCTCACCTCTTATGAAGCTGCTGGATTCGAACCACTGACATTTTGGTTAGTAGCTCAACACTTTAACACACTCCACCATTGGGGCTCTTTTCCCCTTGGGTAGCTCTTCTAGCTACTGCTTGACTTCATCCTGCCTCCAAGCAAACCTGGCTACAGCCGATTGTCCTTCAAGGGAAATTTATGTTTATGTCTGTTCCATGTGGCCAAATCATTAACCCTCTTTTTCCACTTTCAAAGAAAGACATTAGTCCTATTTTATTTTTTTATAATCATAAAAAACTCATAAGGGGAAAAAACCCAACAAAATGATAAGAGAATTCCTATCAAATTCCAAAGTTGGGGGGATTTCATAAACAAAAGGATGATGTAAAAAAAACAGAGTCTCAAGTCCTCTTGCCCATCTGTTATTTCAGCTGCTATGAGTGTGGAGGCTGCTTGCATAAGACCCACAAGAGAACAGGTGTAGGGGCGATGGACAGAGACTGTCTCCTGGCTCTCACCACGACAATGAGATGGAGTTTATGAGCACTAAAGGATTCCAGTGAGGAACACAGCCTTCCCGAGAATGTTGAGGTTATCACCCCAAAGGGAGTTTGTTTTAACAGTGCTGGAGCAGCCTGTAATTTTGTAGGTAGACCAGAAGTCCCTGGGGATCTCTTTAAGTTCTCTGCTAATGAAGACTAAGTAGGTGAATAATGCAAAAAATCTTAAGATATTGCAGGTATGAATAATTATTACACTGTAAACTTCTAGAATGCCAGTTTGTTTATAACATCCTCCCTTTTTGCTTAGGTTTTTTATTATTTCATCCAAGTCTTGACTAACAATAAATGTACACTTCTCGTGGTACTTCTAAAAGGACAATATTTCAGGTGGGATATGGTTTTCTCAAGAGAGTCTATGAAGATACAGGTATGTACGACACAGTCAATGTACGATACATTCATTTTGCTCTAAAATATGTCAACTTACTTTAAACAGATATGATCAGTCAGGCTATATAATAAAATGTGAAACTTACTTTAGACCACCTTCTAGATCACTGGGGCCATCTTAAACATGGGGGTCACCTCTGTGGAGTATAATTTCTCAACGTTGTGTTTTTATTTCATTTATGGCTTGTTACAAATAATTTATGGCTAATAATATTTAGGATACTCAGTTAATATTTGTGAACGCTGTTCTCCTCCCTCCACTCTGTTTTCCTTCCTCCTTCCTCTCTCTCTCTCCTCCTCCTTCTCAAGAAATACCAACCAAGAAAATATATGTTTCAGTTTAGCTTTGTTGTTTCTGGATGTAAATTCATGGGCAGGTATTTACCCTGCCGAACCTGTTTCAGGTCAGTCATGAATGTGGCCTCCCAGTGTTTTCTGGCAGACTGATAGGAGAAAATGTATATTTATTTGCCTATCCTGTGATAAGCAGTTGGTAAACATTAGCCATGGCAGCATATCAAGGAGTGGGCTGCTAAATAAAGGACCAACAGTGGGAATCCATCACCACTCAACAGGAGGAAGATGGGAAATCCAATGGATCAGAACTGACTGGAGAGCAGTGGGCAGGCAGACAGGGATTATTATTAATACTTAATTAGCAATAATCTCATTCACTGGAGTTAGGCTATCTTCTTTGTAACAACAGAGGAAGAGTGATAGATGCAACCTTAGTGAAATCAATGCATTAGAACGGGATAACCACCTCCATCATATGTGTCATGACTTGATGAAGAGCCTCTTTTCTACCTCATTGCAACTCAGGGATATTTTGGATTCCAGAACATTTGTCTTTACCCAGGACACAATCTAGCTCCCAGGAAATTCTGCACACTAGTCTTCCTTCAGATCATTAGGACCACATGTGATTGGCAGTGAGAGCCTAGTTTTCTTCTTGGAACTTTTTGTTCAGAACTCAGGAGCATTATCTGAAAATAGCTCTGTGTAGAGGGAACTTCTCTCTCAAGCTTTCAGATAGGAAAACAGAGGCTCAAAGTCACTTGCTTCCCAAGGATTCAACAAAACAACTGGTAGAGCTAGTAAAGCAACTCAGTAGAGTGATAGGATATAAGATCAATAGCAAAAAATCAGTGGGATTCCTCTACAGCAACAAAGAGAACTCAGAGAAGGAAACTAAGAAAGTAATATCATTTATAATAGTTAATCACAAATTTAGACACTTGGGAGTGAACCTAACCAGAGACACAAGATACAAGGAAAACTACAGAACATTTCTGCACAATGAAAGATCTAAATAAGTGGTGGGGGGAAAGTGCCATTTTCATGGGTAGGAAGACTCAATATTGTGAAAATGACAATCCTGCCAAAAGTAACCTACGTGTTTAATGTACTCTCAATCCAGATACCAAATTCATTTTTCAGGAGATTGAAAGAGAAATTTTCAAGTATATTTGGAGAAGAAAGAGACCCTGAATAAGCAAAACACTTCTGAAAAAAAAATTAAGTGGGAGGCAAGGGTCTTCCTTCCTAACCTCAAAACCTAGTGCACAGCAGTAGTAACCAAAACAGCATGGTACTGGTACAATGACAGGCGCATAGACCAATGAAACAAGATTGAGAACCCAGAAATGGACCCAGCTATCTATGGTCAACTGATATTTGACAAGGAAATAAAACCTATCAAATGGGGAAATGATAGCCTCTCAATAAATGGTGCTGGCAAAACTGGACTGCTACCTGCAGAAAGCTGAAACAGGATCCACATCTCACACCATGCACAAAAATCAACTCAAGGTGGATCAGA